GAACTGCTATTTTTAAGTTTCTGGAGAGCAGGAAGTTCATGTGGTTTTCATCTCAGGACCTTCCAATACCTGGCACAATACTTTTTATATTACAGGCGTTACCAAAAACATAGTGCTTCCGCTAACTGATGGGCCTTCCTGCTTCCTCCGCATAAGCAGACCACCCCCACCCCCCCCTCCAAAGAGGCATCTTCCAGAAGTCACCATAAGCACAGCAGCTTAGGAAAAAACCCGTCCCTTCTATTAAGTGAGGGACACTTTCAGTCAGTTACCAGCGCCTGTGTTTAATAGAGCTTTGCAAGCTCACTGAACCAGCAAGCCCTCAAAATTTTTGGGGGCTCATCCCAGCTACCGCTCTCCTACAGGGACTCTATGAGGCAGCAACAGAACCCACATCTGACAAGAATAAGTTTCAAGCTTTCCAGGGTTTTGCTCCTTTTCTCGGATAATCAAGCCTTACTCTCACCACTCACCAGCGTGTCCGGAATGTCTTCGCTCAGGCTGCCATAAGAAAATACCAAAGAGTAGGTGGCTTCAACAACAGGAAACTATTTCCTCGAAGTTCGGGGGGCTGGGAGTCCAAGATCTAGGTGCAGGCCAATTCCGTTCCTGCGTTCCTAAGGAAGAGGGAAGGCGCCAGGTTCTACTGAGAGGCTTCAGTGATGTCTGCAGGCCACTAGTTCAGGAGAGTGACTGGAATGGCCGTGTTTTGTAAAAATCACAGTGTAAGAGCCTTCCTTTTTCATAACATAAAACTTACCATTTTAACCATTTTTAAGCATACAGCTCTTTGGCATTAAGTACATTCCCATTGTTGTGTAACCATAACCACCATCTTTTTCCAGTATTTTTTCATCTTCCCCAACTGAAGCCCTGTACCCAGTAAATATAACTCCTCATTCCCCTCCCCCAGTCCCTGACAACCACCAGTCCACATCCCACTTTCTGTCCCCATAAATTTGACTACTCTAGGAACCTTATATAAATGAAATTACACATTCTTTGTCCTTTTGTGATTGGCTTATTTTATTTAGCATAATGTCCTCAAGGTTTACCCATTTTATGGCATGTGTTGGAATTTTCTTCCTCTTTAATAAGGAATTAGAGGCCCATTGCACAACATTTGTGCACTGGGGGTCGGGGGGCCTCAGTCCGGGAGCCCCGCGATCGATCACCCAAAAGAGGTAGACCCTGCCCACCCAGCCAGGATTGCACAATCGATCCCACCCTGCAGAGGGAGGCACCGGCCACCTGCTACAGCCCACTGGTTGGTGGCCTGGGCCTCCCTCTTTGGGGTGATTGTGGAGCCCCCCGATTGATCAATCACCCCGCTGGCTGGTGACCTGAGCCTCCCTCTGCAGGGTAATCATGGGGCAATGGCCGGGCCCCTGACCAATTGCATTGCACCCGCCATGGCTGGCTTGACACCAGTGGGTGTCATAGCGTGGTTGTCCAGAAGGTCGTTCTGCTGTTTGGTCGTTCAGTCAATTTGCATATTAGGCTTCTATTATTATAGACTAGAGGCCCGGTGCATGAAATTCGTGCATGGGGGGGGGGGGC